TAATTTCCGACCATGGCAAGTCATAATCGTAGAATGAGTGAGATTTACAGCATGGTAACATGCCCTTTGGCCCAACTTGTCCATGCCGCCCAGTTTTCAGAATTTAAACTCACCCCAATTGCCCGAGTGTGGTCCATATCCCTCCATACCTATCCCATCCAGGTAACTTTCCAAATGTTTCTTAAATGATGAAATTGTACTCGCCTCCATCACGACCTCTGGCAGCCAGTTCCAGACACTCGTAGACAACGTCTACCATGCTGCCCTCATCTACCATCTTGGTCATCCCTTCAACTAAACTCAATCAAGTTCATGAGACACAGTTTCCCATGTACAAAGCCATGCTGACTAACTCAAATGAGATCTTACATCTTCAAATGGTCCTGTAGATCTTGTATCTCGGAATCCCCTTGAATAATTCACCCACTACAGATGTTAGGCTCACCAGTCTAGTCTCAAGCCCAGAGCAGAAAAGCCACGAGTAATTTGGAAGTACATTGGAACTGCACTGACCGCAGCTTGGCTGGTGTGCGAAATAGAAGCACATCTTGTTTGGAGGTTGTGTTGGAGGCATGTAAGGCTGGAGTAAAGTAAAAAGCAAGGAGAAAAAGAGGATTTGAGTACGCTTTCATGCTTTGTTGGGAAGTACTGTTTAGAGGTCCTAATTTGATTAATGCGCACTCTTCTGCAATGACAAAAGCATGTGCTCTAAAATAACCACAGCCTCCAACTTCATCGTTCCCCAACCCTGTGCCACCCGTTTCTATCTCCTTCCCAAAATCCATAAACCTGACTGCCCTGGTCAACCCATTGTCTCCGCCTGCTCCTGCCCCACCAAACTTATCTCCACTTATCTCAACTCCATTTTCTCCCCCTTAGTCCAGGAACTCCCCACCTACGTCCGTGACACCACCCACGCCCTCCAAAACTTCCGATTCCCTGGCCCCCAATGCCTCATCTTCACCATGGACATCCAGCCCCTATACACCTGCATTCCCCATGAAGATGGCCTAAAGGCCCTGTGCTTCTTCCTGTCACGCAGGCCAGACTAGTCCCCCTCCACCGACACCCTCATCCGTCTAACCGAACTCGTCCTCACCCTTAAAAACTTCTCCTTCAACTCCTCCCACTTCCTACAGACTAAGGGGGAATCCAAATGGGCCCAAGCTATGCCTGCCTCTTTGTGGGATACATGGAACCGTTCCTCTTCTGCGGCTACACCGGCCCTAAACCCCACCTCTTCCTCCGTTACATTGATGACTGTGTCGGCGCCGCCTCGTGATCCCACGAGGAGCTCAAACAGTTCATCCACTTCACCAACACCTTCCACCCCCAACCTTAAGTTCACCTGGACCAACTCTGATACCTCTCTCTCCTTCCTGGACCTCTCTGTTTCCATCTCTGGCAACCACCCGGAAACCGATATCCATTTCAAGCCCACCGACTCCCACAGCTACCTAGCATACACCTCCTCTCACCCACCTTCCTGCTAGAATGCTATCCCCTATTCCCAATTCCTTCACTTCCGCCACATCTGCTCCCAAGATGAGGCATTCCACTCCCGGACATCCCAGATATCCTCGTTTTTCAAGGACTGCAATTTCCCCTCCGCAGTGGTCGAAAACGCCCTCGACCTCATCTCTTGCGTTTCCCGCACCTCAGCCCTCACACCCCCTCCCACAATAAAAACAAAGACAGACTTCCCGTTGTCCTAACGTGTCACCCCATCAACCTCCAAATTCAACGCATCATTCTCCACCACATCCGCCACCTGCAATCTGACCCCACTACCAAAGATATATTTCCCTCCCCACCCTTACCTGCCTTCCGGAGGGACCGCTCTGTCCGTGACTCCCTTGTCCGCTCCACTCTCCCCACTAGCCCCACCACCCCCAGCACTTTTCCTTGCAACTGCAGGAAGTGCTACACCTGCCCCTACACCTCCCCCCTCACCCCCATTCCAGGCCCCAAGAAAACCTTCCACATCAAACAGATGTTCACCTGCACATCTGCTAATGTAATATACTGTATCCGCTGCTCCCGATGTGGCCTCCTGTACATCGGGGAAACCAAGCGGAGGCTTTGTGGAATACCTGCACTCGGTTCGTGACAAATGACAACACCTCCCAGGTCGCGAACCACTTCAACTCCCCCTCCCACTCCTTGGACGACATGTCCATCCTGGGTCGCCTCCAGTGCCACAACGATGCCACCCGAAGGCTGGAGGAACAGCACCTCATATTCCGCTTGGGAACCCTGCAGCCCAATGGTATCAAAGTGGACTTTACAAGCTTCAAAATCTCCCTTCCTCCCGACCTCATCCCAAGACCAGCCCCTCCCCTCCCCGCCTCCTTGACCTGTCCGTCTTTTCTCCCACCTATACGCTCCTCCCACCTCACTGACCAACCCCCACCACCACTTCCTACCTACTAGCCCCAACCCCGCCTCCTTGACCTGTCCGTCTTCCCTCCCACCTACCCGCCCCTCCCTCCTCACTGCCCAACCCCCATCCCAACTCCCTACTTACACTCACCTGTACTGGTTTCATCCCCGTCTCCTTGACCTGTCCGTCTTCTCTCCACCTATCGGCTCCACTGTCCATGTTCTGTCATAGCCTCCCCCTCTCTCTCTTTATTTCAGAGCCCTTTTCCCCTCCCCCATTTCTGAAGAAGGGTCCAGACCCGAAGCGTCAGCTTTCCTGCTCCTCTGATGCTGCTTGGCCTGCTGTGTTCGTGCAGCTCTACACCTTGTTATCTCTTGCTCTGAAGTACTTTTATTTTAAGCTTATTTTAACATAGTAAATAAATGATGACTAGAACATTTTTAAACAAAGTCATTTTTTAATTTTGAGTGTACCTAAGAGGGGGTCAAAATTGAGGTGAAGTGATGCTTAGATCAAACAAAAACATGCATTGTTGATGCAAAATGTCCTTTGCAGCCCTCTAGTGGTGTTGGAACAAATGAATACTGTTGGTGTGCAGATGCAAATTTCAAAGAAATGTTGATCCATGGGAACACACAGCAAAGGAAGAAGGCATTTAACTGTTTGCACTTTCCTAAAACAATCCAAAACTAATCTTAAAGTCCTTTCTCTGTAGCCTTGCAACCTCATCTGATTTCAGTATTTCCTTATTCCTAGCTAAAAAGGTGTGAGATCAACCTCAGTTGCTTCCACGGATAAAACATTCTGTTGTCAAAAATCAAATGATACATCGGAGTACTAGTATGTGGGGAAAAAAAAATTGACCATAATTTTCTCCTTTCCACCTCAGTAAATTTGGTTGAAATAAATAGGAGATTGCTTTCTCGTTTGAAGGACATCAGATAAAAATGCTAAATGGGTACTCTAATGTGGAATGAAATGGAAACACTCAGCAGGTCAGGGAGCATGTGTGAAAAGGGAAATGATTAATATTTTAGAACATTAATCTTTCAGCATAAGTATATGCTTGTATCTTGTGGCATAATTCCAAGGCCTAATCTTTCTTCACAAGTTTAGGTTTTCTTTCCTTGGCTACTTAAGTTCTTGAGTATGAACTTATGTACTTATTTCTTACTTTTGCAGCCATGAAAAAAAACTTACCATCATGATTTTGTTTTAACACCACTGGAAATAACAATTGTTCTTGCAAGAACAATGTAACCTTGCACATTCCAGATATGATAACCCCTACAAGTTACATGGGGAATTACTAATTAATCTCCCAGTGGAACTCATTGAGTCTGAGTCCCTTGTAACGGGTATTGGCCTTTCTAGCTGGAAGTCATCACCTGAGCCCTTAATCCTACTTCTGGAAGGGCCTCTAGTGGTGCAGAGATAAAGTCCCTACCCCTGGACCGAGAGGCCCAGGTTCAAGTAACACCTATTCCAGAGGTATGTAATAACATCTCTTCAAAGTTGATTAGAAAAATAGGTTAATAAAAAAAACCTACCTCCAGGGACCCTCTTGTGGCACAATGGTTGTTTACCTACTTCTAGACTGGAGGCCCAGGAGGCCTGGATTGAAGTTCCACTTGCTTCAGAGGTGTGTAATGATATCCCTGAACAGATTGATTTGGAAAATGAAGTCTACCTCTGCAGTGCCCTCTTATAGCGCAGTGGCAGCATTCCTTGGCTGAGAGGCACAGACTGAGACACCCAGGTTCAAGTCCCACCTGGTTCAGAGTTGTGTCGTAACATCTCTGAACAGGTTGATCAGAAAATAGGTTAAATAAAAAAAAACTGCCTCTGAGTCAGGAGGCCTGGGTTCAAGTCCTACTATTCCTGAGCAGGTTGATTCGAATTTTTTTTTTTTTAACAAAGCAGACCGAGTGTACCGTGCATACATTGGCTGTGGGTGCTTGCACAAAAAGAATAATGCAGCTCCAGGAATGTGTTTTCGGAACTGTCTTTCCCAGCTGGGACTAGCCAATGGACACCGTAAATAGTGGCTCTATGCTCGTGCTCGACAATAATTGATGTTCCTTTCCAGTCAAGTTACCTGAATTATTACACTGGTCTGAAGGTTCCCCTGAGTGAGGCTATGAAACTCTTTTGTAGGTTTTTTTTTTACACACTAGATGTTACTATGCATTGCCAGGTCAGGTGTTTTCCCCATTTTCCCCATTGAAGCATCCAACCATTGTGATGCCATTGTCATGCTTACCAGAAGTACATCCACATAAAGGGATATATATTGTTTACTTTCAAGTAAGACCTTTCTCCATTTACTTCCCTGCTAAGCCCTGCATCCTAATTAGAACTTGTAAACTTGAAGTTTTAAAATACAGGGTAAACGCCCATCAGCGGTGTGCTTTAATTAACGTAAACCCCCTGATTCACCAGTGTGATGCTTTGGCTTCAGTTCATCACACCGGATATGCTAGTTGTTTCCCTCGGAATGCTAATTGGACAATCATTGGTGTATATTTGCAGCTACATGCGTCACGTGAAATGGTTGAATATTCTGTCCACATGTACTATTTATTGTGTTACATTGTGTGTGTTTTTCCGTTTGCAGCCAGCTATATGTTTGATAGTGATGCATCTGACAGGGAGGTGGGATCGAAAGTGAATCATGTGATGGACACAAAGATTTCAGAATTTGGAAGCTTGCCCATTGAAGTAAAGGGATACCAGCAAATACGTGATGGTATATTGAATCCTGAGGCTTTGAAGGTGCTTGCGACAAGGACATCTGGAACACAGACACTGAATGAAACTGTTTCCTTGGAAACGATGTACAACTCTGTGGATTTGGCTGCTTTTGTCAGCCAAGAATATGATGAATTTAGTGAGAATGAAACCAAAAGTATTCAGACCTCAGAGGCGGATGGTTTGGTTGGACAGTGTCAAGGGGAGCTCTCTACAATCTATGAAAATCATTCTGAATCACTCCGACTGAATGAAAAGTCACTGAGTCCTGAGCAGCAAGAAACTGTCTCTGAATGTAATGAGACCAAATTAGTCAAACAGTTGGGATCAACATCAGGCTTGATGTATATTGAGGTAAAACCCAGCACCAAGGATCCTTACCAGGGTGAGACTGTGTTAGTCTGTTCTCCAAATGGGACAAATACCAGTGAATGCTCTGCCTCTAATGACACTGAAATTAGTCAGCGGGAGGAATTCAGTGAAGTAGATTTGGACTTGCCGTGTTCTGTTGTTAACTCTGAGCATATGGACAGTGAGTCTGTTGAACACGAATTTATAAGAAGAAGAGTTGAGGGTACTGACTATCCCATTATAACTGGGGCCATGAAACGATCTCTTTCGTTAATATCTGATTCAGGAATAGAGAGTGAACCCAGTTCGGTGGCTTGGTCAGAGATGCGAAAACCACTGGATTCATCTAGTGACCGGGACCTCGTGCACCAGATAGTTAGAGCACAAGCAATCCACAGGAATTCACTGGAAGGTGGTCAGACTGAAAGTGGCACCAGTTTGCCCAGTGGGATCCAGGCTTCTTTGACATCAATCAGCTCGTTGCCTTTTGAGGATGAAGAGGAGGTGGAACTCAGCAAATTGACCAAATCTGTCTCAGCCCCACAGATTAGTAGCTCAGATCAAACAGGTGAAGCCCCTGATTCTTTACCGCAGCAACAGATCGCTGACGAAAATCAGTGGCTGAGTAGGCATCCCTTGGAGAAGGAAAGGGAAGAGCAACATGAGATACGTTCAGTTCAAAGAGAATGCAGTGAGGATTCTGATTCCCTGTCAGATAAAGAGATCCCGCCAAAGCATTTAGAAGATTCAGTACTGAATAGTAGCAGCAAAGTGGAGCCCATCAAAAATACCACCATTTTGGCAAGAGATCAATGGTATTCCTCTGAAATGAATAATAATATTGACCAGCGTCCAAATGTATTCAGTGCTGATAGCCATAGCGATTCGATAAGTCACAGTGTTAAAGAGCTTGTGTGTAAGGAAGTGGATTTTAATAGATTATTAGACACAGATGTTAACACTTCTGACCCTGACAGTCACACAGAAGATATTAAATTCCTTTCTGCTGAACTGCAAAGTGGCAATCATGGATCATTCAGTGACGAGTTGCCACATGCTGTGTTTATCCCAAACAGCAGTGATGGGGTAACGACGTGTGAGTTGGTGACACAACCTGACCTGCAGACAGAGGCTTTGGAGCTGACCAAAGCCGCATTCAGCGATGTCCCTTTGCCCGACAGAGCATGTCATGAAGAAACTCCCTGCCTATACGAAGGAAAACTAGAAATGGAGCAGCAATGTGATAGCTGTACAGGAAAACAAGATGGAAGTGAAAACCCATCAGCGCGTACCAACAACAGTGAACTTCAGCCTCTGGTTCATAGTGGAAATTCCTCTGGAACTGGTAACTCAGGCATGGTCTTTGAGAAGACGAACGTGGTTGAGGTGGTCAATCTTTCCGTTTCATGCACAGCCACGTGTCTGCCATTTTCTTCCATGTTGAGGGATTCTCCTGTTTCCTTTCCCTCAAAGCAGTTAGCGTCTCCAATTACTAGACAGCCCATCGGCTCATTTGGTATGGTCTCTTCTACTTCCCAGGATGCTGATGCAGAAATCAATGAGAAAATGGTGAGGTAAATTTACAACTCATCACTGATTCATATCCTTTCTCAGTCTGAGCACGTGCCTTGGGATTATGGGATAAAGACACTTCCTAGTGGTGAACTAAGGCATTCAGAAAGGTCAGACTGAAGTTTCTTGTTAGAACTGGGTTAGCCTATCATAACTGCACCATCAATAAGACAGTTAGAACTGTCTAAAATATCACCATTGACGATAAGGAACAGAAAAATTACTCGAGTGAATTCCCAAAGTTCTTGCGTCGACTGGAACAGGATTAATCATTGCTATATAGTAAATTAGTTGCTCAGTAATTAATGTGGAGGAACATACACAGTGTAAAGAGTGGCCAGGTTGGGTGAGGTAATGGAGGATTGGATGAGGAACAGGAAGAATGTTGTATCCTAATATATTTGCAACAAAGGAGAGAGGAAACTGAATTGATGATTCCCATGTCCTAATGCCAGTCTCAGGCCAGAGTGCAGTTGATGAACATCATGCTTTATACACACAAAGACTGAAGGGACACAACTGAGATTAGGACTGTTTACACAGAGAATCATTAAGGCACACAATTGTGTCTAAACATAGTGCAAGATGGGAAGAAATGGTGCCATTGTAATGGCACTGGACTAAATCCAGAGATTCATGATAATGTTCTAGGAACACGTTGCTGGATATTTCCTCCCATCCACCACCACCATAGTGTGTTTTTGGTTGGGGGAAGGAGCTTCAAGAAAACACAGCAAGCGCCTAGCCCATCCAATATCCCACCTGCCCCTGAAGTTGACCCTAAAATCACAGCCTGCCTACGATATGTAAATTGAACTAGTTCAAAGCTTAGTTGACCTCAGTCATGCCTTGTCAATGCATGGGAGTTGTGAGCAGGTGAGTGGGAGTGGTCAGCCCCTTTTGTATGATTTTAAAATCATAGGATCATAGAATCCCTACAGTGTGGAAACAGGCACTTCGGCCCAACGCACCGACCCTTGGAGCATCCCACCCAGACCCATCCCCCTATAACCCACACACCCCTGAACACTACAGGCAATTTAGCATGGCCAATCCACCGAGCCTGCACATCTTTGGACTGTGGGAGGAAACCGGAGCACCCGCAGGAAACCCACGCAGACACGGGGAGAATGTGCAAACTCCACACAGACAGTCGCCCGAGGCTAGAATCGAACCCAGGTCCGTGGCGCTGTGAGGCTGCAGTGCTAATGGTGTGCGAAAAGGGGATGCTGCCTTTGGATGGTGCCCATTGTGAGCGCCCTGAAAAGATAATATTCGCTTCCCTCCTACCTTCATGTATTTTAAAATCCACCATTCCAGCCTCATTGTTGTCCTTCCTAAGCTCGCAGAAACTCCCTGCAGCCCTCCTGAGACAGAGATTACGGCCAGGGAACAGGGTAGTGTATTGAAGTGGTAGGCAGGGTCTGCGAAGCGGTCACCCAATTTATGCTTTGTTTCCCCAATGTAGAGGAGACCGCATGGTGAGCAGCAACTGCAGTAGACTAGATTGTGGGAAGTGCTGGGGAAGTGCTGCTTCACCTGGAACACATGTCTGTGCCCTTGGATACTGGGAAGGGAGGAGGTAAATGGGTAGGTGTTGCACCTTCGGCATTGCAGTGGAAGGTGCCGTGGGGCTGTAGTGGGGGTATTGGGAGTGAAGGAAGAGTGAACCAGAAGGAATGGTCCCTGCGGAAAGTGGACCAGGGAGGGGAGGGGAATTTGTGTCTGGTGGTGGCATCTCGCTGGAGGTGGCAGAAATGGCATCTGATGATCTTCTGGATATGGATGCTGGTGGGATGGTAGGTAAGGATAAGGGGAATCCTATTGCTGTTGCAGGAGGGAAGAGAAGGGGTGAGGCTGGAAGTGCGGGAGATGGGTCAGACCCAGTTGCGGGCCCTGTCGACAACAGTGCTGGAGAATCCTCTAATATCTCTGGGTTGTTGCACCTTGCGGGCCTTGATGCTGAAAAGAAATGTTTCTGGTTGGCCCAACGAATGAGCCGGAGGATGAACTAGAACTACGGAATGGTGCAACTCTGAGCCGGTGTGATGCGATGTTGTTGGTACTGAGTGTGGATCTCAGGATGCGACGAGAGCATCTGTCTGTGGAATGTTAAACATTGCGAAGATACCTGTGATCCTGGGTGGATGAAACTTCAGTTGGAATTCATGTGGGGTGAGTCTGAGCTGGAGGCAGTCACTCAGGAATGTGAATTAGCTGTGGAAGTGAGTTTTAGCAAATATCTGGTCAACTACCAGGAGAAATTAATGTCAGTGGACAAGAAGAAGAATTGGAACAGAAATCCCATCGGAGAGAGGAGCAGAATTTCTTCAAGGTGGGCACACATAAAAGAGATGTGGCAGTGAGTTAAATATGGACCAAAAACAGAAGTTGCTGGAAAAGCTGATCAGGTCTGGCCGCATCTGTGGAGAGAAATCAGAGTTAACATTTCAGGTCCGGTGACCCTTCCTCAGAATTAATGGTAGCTTGGAAAATTTCGGTTTATATGCAGAAAATAGGTTGGGTTTGGGGGGCTAAGGAGTAAATGATAGGTGGGAATAGAGCCCAAAGAGAGAGAAGAGCAGTTGGACAAACCAAGAAATCGATAATGATCTGGTTGCAAGGGTGAATAGCTGTTATTGGAGATTGTTAGTGACTAACAACAGGGGGTGTGTAATGGCAGACTATGTGGTATCAAGGCCTGGTGGGTGGGGTAGGGGGCTGGGACATGGGAGAGATCAGGCCCTAAAATGATTGAACTTGATATTGAGCCGGAGGGCTGCAGGGTCCCCAAGCGGAAAATGAGGTGGTGTTCTTCCAGCTTGCGCTGAGCTTCACTGGAACACTGCAGCACACGTAGGGATTGTTCGACACAAGATGTACCCTGAAAGATGTACAGTCGGACTGTTTGGAAGTTCCAGGTGCACTGATGACAAATTAATTTAAACTTTAACTTAAAATTTTAGTGCGCAATTACTTGAGAGTGACCCTAAAACCTGATAATAGAGTTGGTGATTTCGGAGAGTTCTGGCTTGCTCACCTCAAAAGCTACCCAGAAATAGTCAGAGGGATTACAACTCGATATAATTCCTGTTTAACTGCAAAACTAATACCCCACCCCAACAATTGCTCAGGCTGTCAACTCAACTCCTGTTCATGTTCGCTGCCCCACCTGCTCCAAAACCCAAACCATCCTGACATCTCATGCCCACTTTCATCTGATTCCCAACCAAGCCCCTCAACATCTGACCCATGCCCCTCCCATCAAGACCTAACTCTTCCCCCACCCCACCACTTCCAGAGCATTCTGACTTTGCCCCCAACCCTCAGACACCTGGTCTCCTCCACTCCAACTATCCCTGATATCCAACTGTCCAGAGATCAGAAGATCTGCTCTAAATTTCAGCAACTTTGTAGCATTCCTTCTCTGCATATCCTGAACAAAGTTAAGATTTCCCAGAAGATAGCAGCAATATTTTGCATTCACTTTATCGTTTAAATGGAGCACAGAGCAGAGAGCAGGAGCTAAAATATTAAACAGAGCGACAGGCAAAGTACCACTGCCCATGTATACCACTTCAAATGGAATGAAGACATAAATGGGAACATTTGCCCTATATACCTGAAAGCAATTACGTTGTTTAGTGTCTTGGCAAAAATTACTGGTGCAATCTGATTCGAGTTATTCCCAAAATTATGCTTTAGACAAACCACTTATTATGTCACGTAGGTGTTGAATGATGTTTTGAATAACCTAAACTCATTGTCATTCAGTATATATATGCAGTCAGATATCTGTACACTCAATTTACAATCCTGGAGTACTAGAAAACATTACACAAAAGAAAAAGCACAAAGAACTGCAAATGCTGGAAATCAGAAACAAAAAGAGATTGCTGGGAAAACTCCACAGGTCTAGCAGCAACTGTGGAGAGAAAGCAGAATTAAGTTTCAGATCCAGTGTCCCTTCCTCAGAACATTCTTTGGACCTAATAGAAATTAGGGATAGGATTTTGAATTGCTCAAGGGGGCAGGAAGGGTAAGGCATGTCCTCTGAAAATAGTGCTCCTGGACTCAATGTCAGCAACCTTGTGCCATCGCGTTACACTGGAATTTTTGAAGGAAAGCACATGAGAGTTGGGAAGGCCTTCAGTTAACAGCATGTTAAGCCCCTTGAGGTGTTGGCTAATGAAAGTTATAAGGAAATTTTTGAATCACGAATTGCCAAATCTGAGTCGGCCAGTTATATACAGCTGTCAGATTCAATAAGAGCTTAAGGTTTTTTGAATAAGGAAAATACTTTTGCCATGAGGGTTTGTTTTGTGAAATCTGTTGCAACACCTTTCATTTGGCTGTTTGATGCTTTTCTGTGCTGTGAGGGTAGTGGGCCTCCAATGAGCTACCTCCCTTCTCTGCAGCCTGTCTTTTGACGATTGTGTTCAACAGGGCAGCTCCTGCTAACACCATTAACTGTGCTTGGCTTACCACCTGACCAAGTTGGGCATCTACTTTTGAAAATTGTTTTGCACGAGCAACACATTTATGACAAGGAGTTGGGACCTGGAAATTTATCGAGCTCTCAGGTTCCCAAACCCTGATTTGGAAAAAAAAACCTGAGGTTATTTGCCTTGCGTAATGTGGAGGGGCACTCTCAAATACTTACATTGTAAACATGCAGAAATACTTAAATGGTGTAAGAGCATTTACCTTATTTGAATAGTGATTCAGGCTGTTAGGTGGGAAAGCTCAGGCCAGGGGTTTTGTATCAGTTCTCTCTATGTGCTGCACATATATAGATGTCAACATTGTAACTTCTTTTCATTGCAGTTTTGTTCAGGCCAAAGACGAGTTGCTAAAGGGACTGAAGTTTGAAGGGTTGTTGTACAGTAATCTGCCTCTTCTGGCTTCCAATATCCCTTACTTCACTCCAGAGGAAGAGGAGGAGGAGGTGAATTTGGAAGAGGGAATCCACCTGATTATCTGTGTTCATGGATTAGACGGTAGGCAATGACTGTGGAGTTAGCTTTTAGAATAATACCCTTTGACACTCACACAATCCTAATGAGGAGAATGATTAGGTGGACTGTCTACTCACAGATAAGCCATCTCTGACCATCTCCCTGTATTGCTGTCCGCATACATCTGACTTCCTTGTCAAAAGCTTACTTCCTTCTGTCTCCATCCCAATTTAACAATCAGGTTCTCCTCAATTCACTTATAACCACGCTCTCAAAATCCCAAACATCTAACTTTTGACCCCCACAATGCTTTTGCAGCTGCCAATCTGCTGCTTAACCACTCCCTCATCGTCTCCTTCAACCCAGCCCACAGAAAAACCATGACTCTCTCACGCACTCTGGCTGTTTCCCAAATACAACTCAAAACTCCACTTCCTTGAATCCAAGGGATGAAAACTTAAATGGACGTGATAGACAACTGGTTTAGTCATTCACCATCAGACCTGCCTGGATCCAAAAAAGCATTATCGAAGTTGTCCTGCAGAGGAGGGGGTGTGGGAGTTGTGCTGTTACCATCTGCCCAGCTTTATCTCTACCATCAGATCCATGACCAGCATGGGACAGTTAATATCGTGAATTCTAAAGTGAGGCACTTTTCATATGTCTCAACAGGCTGGACTCTTGGTATAACGTAATCCCTTTTCTGTTGCCTCGTTGCTGAATAGAGTCAGAACAAGTACAAGAACGTCAAATTTCAAATCCTCACAACAGTGTAGGCCACAGGAGAAAGCACTGCCGATAGGGTTTGCATGTCAACTCGGAATGGTTGGGGTTGCCATTGGAGAAAACAGCTTCAACAAATTAGATTGAACTGACCAACCAATCAGTGTCCTTTTCCCATGAACTCTAAATTGTTGTGTTCCTGGGCCGAAGGGCCCATTCCTGCGCTGGGCAGTTGAAATTTGACATTCTTGTGTTTGTCCTGATGGGTGCAAGATGAAAAGCTCCAGCAATATGATTCTTTTCTCAGCAATATTTAAGGTCTGCATTAAACAACTGCTTGTTGCATCTTTCTAAGTGAAATTGTGTTTTTTAACCCTGAGAAAATTGCTTAACCTTACTTCATGAAGTTGCTGCCTAATGTGCAATTGGATTAAGGCCAACAAACCTCCGGGTTCCCATTCAAACAGCTATTCAACATACACCGCCTTGATATTAGTTGTCAAGCTGTCCATGAAATGCATATTTAAGATCAAGTCTTTGCTCTCACTGCTTACAGATATCTCAGGACTCAATGGGAGCAGGAACAGTAATTTACTTCATGGCTATCCTTGTCCAGCGAGACAGGCTGAGGGTAATTAAAGAATGGTTCTTCTTTTCAGGTAACAGCGCAGATCTGCGACTTGTGAAGACGTTCATTGAGCTGGGGCTTCCTGGTGCCAAGCTGGATTTCTTAATGTCCGAAAGGAACCAGGTAGGGCACCATCAGGTGTACCTCAGTCACCTGGTCTTATTGGTGGGGAATAAACTCTGGTTCTTTGTTAATCATTACATGTCTTAAAACAAGACATTGAAAACAAAATATGAAATAAGGACAGACCAAGCTTTGAAACAAAATGTTAGTCGTTTCTTTTCTGAAACATTGACCTATTCTTCACTTTCAGCTAAATAAAAACCAAAAGAACTGCAGATGCTGAAAATCAGAAACAAAAACAAAAATTGCTGGTAAAGCTCAGGAGGTCTGTGAAGAGAAATCAGAGTTAATGTTTTGGATCCGAGGACCCTTCCTCAGAACTGATGGGAGCTAGGAGAACCTAGAAGAAATAACTTATCCTAGCTACCATCAGTTCTGGGGAAGGGTCACTGGACCCAACACTTCAACTCAGATTTCCCACCATAGCTGCTGCCAGACCTGCTGAGCTTTTCCAGCAATTTCTGTTTTTGTTTCTGATTTTCAGCTGTTGGATCAACCTGATGAGCCAGTTCCGGAAATTTGTACTTTGACGAGTTAAGATTGTAAAATAGAGTCAAAGAATTTGACAGTACCAAAGGACGCCACTATGCCTGTACCAGTTTCCGAAAGAGCCACCCAGCTAGTCCCATTCTCCATATCCCTCTAAATTATATATATAAATATAATTTCAAGTATATATCCAGCTCTTTTTTGAAACCTCCAATGGAATCTGCCTCCACCATTCTCCCAGGCAGCGCATTCCAAATCCTCACAACTCTGAGTAAAAATGTTTCTCCTCGTCTCATTCCTAACTCTATTGCTGACAATCCTGAACGTGTGAACCTTAGTTGCTGAGATACCAGCAAGTGGAAACAGAACCTCCTCCTTATTCTTCACAGTTAGAAGGCAACTTGATCCGCTACAATTTGACATAGAAGTCAAGGCTTTACATTCCGACTGTATATAAAGTACTATCCAAATTGTTGTTGTGAATGATTTAAAGAGAAATCAACTAATGTGAGAGGATTTTCACATTCCTGAGGTGAATAATTTAATCTTCCCTGAATTTAGAGTGGGTTGGGGTGGGGTGGGGTGAGGGTGGTTACTTCAGCACTACAGACTTGCCAACTTTATAAGCATGTTCAGAAAAAGATTATAGAGATCAGCCCTAGCGATTACAGAGTAGTCAGCTTAACTTCACAAGAGCGGTAAATTCTGGAAACACTTTGGTATAGAATTGATAGTCCGAGGAAAAAGATGCACTAATTCGAAAGAGTCGGCATAGATCTGTTGAAAGGAATAGATAACACAGTGTGGAGCCAGAGGAACACAGCAGGCCAGGCAGCATCAGAGGAGCAGGAAAGCTGACGTTTCGGGTCTGGACCATTCTTCGGAAATGGGGGAGGGGAAGGGGGCTCCAAAATAAATAGAGAGGGGGGAGGTGGTGATAGAAGATGGATGGAGGAGCAGATAGGTGGAGAGAAGACAGACAGGCCAAGGAGGCAGGGACGAAATGGGCTGGTCTTGGGTTGAAGTCAGGGTGTGGAGATTTTGAAGCTTGTGAAGCCCACATTGAGACCATTGGGCTGCAGGGTTCCCAAGCAGAATATGAGTGTTGTGAATAGGTCTGGGTGCCATACTTTAGGAAGGATGTGACCACATTGGACGGAGTGCAGAAGAGATTCATGAGAATGGTTTAAAGGCTGACACCCTTCAGTGAAAAGAAAAGATTGGAGAAATTGCAACTGTTTTCCTTGGGGAGGAGAAGGCTAAGAGGAAGTTTGATCGTGGTTTGCAAACCCATGAAAGATCTGGACAGAGTGGATTGGGCAAAATTGTTGTCAACTGTAAATAGATGGAGAAGCAGAAGGCACAGTTTTAAACTGATTTGCAAAAGAGGCAAATGTGAGGTGAGTCAGAAAAAATTTCCGCACTGTAAATTGTTAGGGTCCAGAATGCATTGCCTGAAAGTGTGGAGGAAGCAGGTTCAGTTGGAGCATTCGGTAAGGAATTGGATAAGTATTATGATGTGTAGGGTTATGGAGAAAAGGCAAGAGATTGGCACAAAGTAAAAATAATCAGAGAGCTGGTCCGAGCATAATGAGCTGAATGGCCTCCTTCAGCAGCATAATTCTGTGACTTTGTTTTCATTTAAATTTAATTTTAATCCAACAAACTCTCATCTCTCCCCCACACCTCATTCCCTCTGTCCCATGAATTTGCACAGGACGTCATATTGAATCCTGGAAAATAGATGCCAGGATTTTGAATCAACACAGAATGGATGTTAAAACTGAAGGAATAGTCTCAGGCAGAGTGCTAAGCTTGGCATCTGCCTAAAAACTAGCCATGTTCTCCTGCTGTTAAGCAATGGAGTCAAAGAGATCTACAGCACAGAAAAAGGGCAGATGAAATAACACTGAGTGAAAGTAGGAGGCACTAGCATAGGCTTCATCAAAGAGGTTCTGAGGAGCATCATGAAGGACATGAAGAGAAGTAAATAACCAATGCTTCCCCACCTCTCCTTTGTACAATAGCTTACTCACGCTCTCCTGATGTATGTGTGGGTGAATGGAATTCAGGAGCTGTGTTGGAGTTGGAGAGATATTTGATTGAAAAGGGAGTAGGAGACAGACTGGAGACGGGAGTTAGGATCACAATGAGCTCTTGACTGAATCAAATGGCTGAACAAACTCGAGGGACTGAGTGAATTATTCTTGCTCCTAGTTTCTGGTGTTCTTGCAGCATTCTCAGATATAAAGAGGAGGTGGAGAATATTGGAGAAAGCAGAATGCAAAGAGGGAAAGCAAAGTTACTGACAAAGAAAAATCAGAGAAGGAGACTTGGAATTTACATTAGAATATTTTTGTGTCAACTCCTGCAATTGTAGTAGTATAAACATCGTCCTGAGCTAATGACCACATTAGCAATGCAACTGTTTGCCCTGTATATTTCTAAATGGATTTTCTCACACGCTGCACTTACTGAACAACTGGTAAAAAAGACATGGAATTTCCACATGCACTCTCTCAATCTCCTGCTTTATCTTTAGTGGTGGATGAACATAAGCACTGAAAGTGAGGTGGGACATTGAAAGTACAAAGTATCACGCAGCAAATAGTGACTGGGAAATAGGTTGTGGGCCGGTCGACATGAAAGTGAATTCTGTTGGAAATGAGCTGGAGCATGGGAGAAATTGACCCTGCTCTCAGTGACGCAGACTATGATATGTGGGTGCACACATTTGTCTCTGTCCGGACTTACGCGTGAAGATTGGCCACCAGGACCAGATACCAGAGGGTGGCCAGTGCCGATGGAACCTTATCCAAACATAAGTCAGGAGGAAAAGGAAAGTAGGCAGGCCGGCAATTAAACACCTGGTGTGAAAATAATAAAACCTATGGGCTCTTATCATACATCAGTCTGTGATGAATTAGCAATGTCAGCAGCTGATATTCCTCATAAACAGGACCTAACACCTCGTAAATTAAAACCCATAGGAGGCCAATATTTCAGTCAAAGCTGCTCCAGTTTGAGAGTACAGACAAAATGCACTAGAGGGAGCTGTTACCTCACAAATGAATAGGTTGGTGGAAAACAGCTGATTCTGTCTTTCATTGTCTTGGTGTTTCCTTTAGTAGTCGAAAATTAGACTGAGTTTGCTCACTATAATGCTGAATCCCTAATCTTTTTGTGAACATGAAACTGCTCGGGTTCATTGGTTATGCTGGAAACTCGTGTGGTCAGACATCAACTAGTTGAACTCAGTTGGGAATAGTTTGAAATTAAAGAGGGGCTGGGCTTGTGTTGGGGGGATCCACTTGCTCGTTAATGGTTGTACAGGTTCCACATCAATTGTCACATCTTCACTCATCTCTCCTGCATGTCAGCTCTGTGCAGTATAGTCTCATCCTCTCATTTGCCATGGCAAACATCCTTTAAAATTCTGGATGCACTACCAATCAAAAGCCACTTGGGGGAGATCACGTTCTACCGCTTTGTTGTGAGGAACATTGAGGATCGAGTAGGATATCGAGCACAATATATGGTATATAGTGCTTTTATTGCCTATTCCTAGTAGGCCTTGAGGTGGAGGTGGTGAGCATTCTGCTTGAAATGCTGCAGCCCATATCGTGAAAGTGCTCCCAGAGGGTAAAGTGATTTAGTTTTCATCCAGTGATGATAAAAAGACTGTGACGTATTAGAAATAGTAAGAACTACTGATGCTGGAGTCTGAGATAACAAGGTGTGGAGCTGGAGGGGCACCGCAGGCCAGGCAGCATCAGAGGAGCAGGAAAGCTGATGTTTCCACCCGAAACGTCAACTTTCCTGCTCCTGTGACGTATTATCCGTGCCAGGATGGTGAGTGACCCAGAAAGGAAAGTGGAGATGTTCCAGTGCACCATCTCCTGTTGCCCTAGATGGTCAAGGTGCAGTTGCATTAGACCAGCATCCTGCTGTTCCAATGTGACCAGTTATGAAACTGAATTGAGAAAGTCTGTTCCTTGGTGAGCTGGCACCAGAATAAAGGCCATGCTGTTGTAATATGAAAACCAATTCATCACTGTCAGTCAGGGAAAGCAAACCTTCCCCGGCCCAAGGGTTTGATGCTTTGTGGCAAGCCACTTGTAGAATAATCCTATAAAAGAAAGCTCAAAATAACCAACTCAAGGCATAGACAACAAATGGAACATCAAAAGGGGAAAAATAATCAGCCATTGCCTGATGGTGGAAATAAACATTGCTTTAAACCATTATCTAAACCTGACGATTGTAAAAGATGTTTTAGAGCTGATCCTGATTAACCTTGTGTTGTACTATTTTATGATTTTTGGAGAACAGTAAATATCTTGTATGGAATGATTTAGATTTTATTGTCATGTGTATTGAAGTACAGAAATACAGTGAAAAGTGTAGAATGCCACCACTCATGGTGCCATCTTAACTACAAAGGTACCTAGGTACAAAGTAGTAAAAGAAACAGAGTTTAAAAAAAATTAAACCTTTCTTCATAGAATAAG